CTTCTCAGACCAAAAAGCTACAACTCTTGTTGCATAGGTCCTGCTTTACCTTGGTCTTAACCATCCAGCAGAAAAGTATGCAGACGAAATTATAAGAAATAAAGCCATGCTGTTAAGTTGAGCTGTGGGGGACTCAGGTCAATAATTTCTGACATTGCCAGTTAAACAGAAGACCCAATGCTATTATGGGCTACTGGACTCTTTTAGAATATTTTGCTGAGTTTACACACCTATAATATTCAATAACGGAACTTAGAAAAAATGGGGTATACCTATGAATGTCCATTTTGTATCTGTGTATTCAAAGTGGTTGGGATAGATATATAGTTACATTCTGTTAATGAATAGAATGATTTGTTCTAATGGTGTTTGTAAATAGGATCACAAGTCCGCATCTTGTACAGCAATTAACCACTAAGAAGAATATATGCAGTGTATTATTTGTTGAAAAATAAAAAAATAAAAATAAAAATAAAAAAACCAGTTATTGAGAGATACATCAATCCAAAAACTTATTAAACGTATTACTAATTAGTGGAGGCTACCACAGATAAGGTTATTATGCATGGTTTGACTATAGATCATTTTTATTTCTTTACAAATGGTGAAGTTCTTTTTTTTTTTTTTTTTTTTTTTTTTTTTTTTTTTTTTTTAATCTAAACCTCCTAATTGGATGTGTATTTCACAGTAAGCGTCCTGGGATACTTCAAATTCATTCAATTCACAAATTAAAGTGTAGAGCAAACGAAGTTATTTGAATTTATCATCTCGTGGCCATGCAGCCAAGCTCGCAATGAATGTCTTCGTGAGGAGAGAATTCACCTGACCACGAGGAGCGTACAGCAGCTTATATGCCGCGTCAGCGAGGACTGAGCACGCACGTTTCGCGCACAGTTTTGCAATGATGCGCTTCGGAAGCATGCGTAGCTCAATTTGTGGGGTTCAAGGCCGGCGTCCAACAGCTCGGTTGTACCTGCGGCAAGCTTTGTGATTCCAGACGGTAGTGTCCCCCTGTAAGTTCCGTAGTCTGGAGTCACAGGCCCGGTGTCAGCTTCTTTTCATTCCTGTAACAAAGTACCACAATCTTGCTGGATTAAAGAAACCGATTTCACAGCACGGGAGGCTAGAAGTCTGAGGTCGCGACTGGCAAGCCGGCTCTCCAGGGGCCGTGGGCCCCGCTGCTGGCGCCCGCCCGGGGACCTGCCAGCCCTGTGCCAGCCTTCGCGTGCACGTGGCGTTCCCTCTAGCACAGTGCGTGCGCTTGCAGAAATGGGAGGCCCACGCGTCCCTCCAGCGGCACAGGGACAGGGGAGAAGGCGAGCGGCGAAGCAGGCCCGCGACAGCCCCGCGGGCCCCCTCGCGCCGGCAGCCTCTGCAGCTGCGGAAAGGGCTTCCTCCCCTGCAGCGGGCACCGTAGCACGGCCTTTCGCTACAGCAGCCTCAGCGGACGAGCGCAGTTCCCCTGTGTGCGTCCCTTTCTGAACTGTCGTTCTATCAGGACCCCAGGCATTTGCGGCCAGAGGCCCACCGTGCTCCAGTCCGACCTCCTCTTGACTCCGTGCATCCACCGGGGTCCTGTTCCGAAAGCCACGGCTGAAGATACCAGAAGCAGCACCTTGTCTCCTCACAGTCCCCACGCTCACATTTTGTGTATTTTTTAAAAGTTGTATTGAATAATCCAAATGATTAAAAACAATTTTATTATTAGTGATGTCTGTACGTGTGTACAGAAATAGAATTTAAAAATCCAGACAGGATCATGTAACAGAAGTCATGTAACAGAGGTTCTCAGTAATGAATTCCTCCAACGCTCTAATTACTATGGAGTTTCTACACATCTCAACAGCTGAAGTAGATGACTGGTTCTGGAGATTCTAATTTTTTTCTTCTGAGTCTAATAAAAAAATACCATGCAACTATTTAATATCACCTTGAATTAAAAATGCTGAGACATAGAAAGATTATTGTAGTTAAAATCTGATTAGATTATTTCATAAAAGATCTCGAAGAATGAATGGTGGAAGTTTTCTAAGGGTAGATGAGTTTGCACCTATCAGTTTCTCTGACCACCAGGTCTTGCCTTGCTGCAGCTCTAGCACTGCCAGGGTCTGCACCTTGACTCTTCAAGGCCACGTGAGTGACAACTGGCCCATCACAGGCCAAAGCCCTGGCCATGTCGGTGGATCGAGGGGTTAATGTGGTACCCAAGCCGGGTCAGAAAGAGCCATACCAAGTATTCTTCCATTTCCAAATCCTGAGAAAGAAATGGCATTTGGGGTTTCGGAGTTGGAAAGTCGTGAAGGAGAAGCATATGGAGGCGTAAAGTCAATCTGAGATAAGTCAAGATGAGCTTGAGCTATTGCGGAAATTGATTTAAAAACCCTACTTGGTTTTCTTCATGTCCTGTGTGAGACTGAAATCAAGTGATCAGGCGCACTTCGTATGTAGTATTCTATTTAACAGGAAAAATGCTGCTTGCATAGCTGCTTGCAGGTAATGCCATCTTTCAGATGGCCCTTGAAGGGCCCTCTTCTTATGCAATGTTCATGGATGTTGGCCTAAGCAACTCTGGCGTCTTGACATATTGATTTATTTCACTGACAAAAAGACTATCTGAAAGTCTGGTATTTACACACCAGATATTAAAATATTCTTAATATTGAATCAAATTGATGTGACCCTTAACCCTAATATCATAGCCATAAAATGCAGATTTTTCAAAATGTGTAATACCCTCATGAAACCCTGGTTTTCATTTACTTTTCCTTTAAAGACCTGAGAATATTTGCATTGTCAGCAGCTTAAATTGACCACAGAAATGATAACTAAATAATTTAGAAAACTGTAAGATGACTTAGACATTTAAGATGTGCATAACGTAATTAAAACCAAACTTGAGGAGGGCCGAGGCCACACTGCAGCTCCCTGGTACGCAGCTGGGGTCACTGCCCGAGCTGTACAAAGGCGCATGTTCAATTTTCAGTTGTAATGAGGAACATGGGCTATTCTGATGCTTCATTTTCTGTGCTCATCTCTAGAGGATGCAATTGTCTACATTTAAAAATGAGTATAGGCTCTTTAGTGGAGGATAATAAAAATGTGTAAAATAATACATGCCACATGCACAGATGGTTGGCATATGGCTTTTCTCTGAGTACGAAAACATGGCCCCTAGCTGCATTCGCGGTTCAGGCGCATGGAAATACTCATTGTTATCCATGTTGCAGCACGACCGGTCATTATTTGATCATGATCATTCCATTTTTAATGTTGGTGTCTACAAATGTGTGTTCAGTAGATTATGCACTTCCAAGGGCAGTGTGTGCTTTACTGTTTTCCTAATCTGCAAAAGGAAAGAGAAATGTTGAGTTTGAAGTTTGCTTTTGTCTCATCTCATAAAGACACAAAGCCAGTTTTGCTTTTTTTGAATATTAACAGTTAAAAATGAATGGCACTTGGGTTTCAGTTTTTTCTGTACGCTGATGTACTTGAAGATGCTAGTACATACTCATGGGGTAAAGTTGAAGAAACACTTAGAACATCATGCCGCAGTGCAGGTTACTGTCTGGTGAAGACCACCAGCTGCTCTTTCCTGAAAATTTGGCATGGAGCCCAGCTATCATTCTATCCATCTGGGAGTGCAGCACCAAGCCTGGCTGTATTTATGGTCTTACTTTGGCTTTAAACAAAATAAAACAAATAGGATATTTTAGTTTAAATACATGAAAGAAAGGGGTCTTGAAATCTGCAGAAGAAATATTGGAACTGGTAAAAAATAGGACCTGACAAATTCGTCAGTGCGTTCTTTGACACAGAGGCGGCCAACGACCATCTCAGATTGCACCTATCAGTTTCTCTGACCACCAGGTCTTGCCTCGCTGCAGCTCTACCACTGCCAGGATCTGCACCTTGACTCTTCATGGCCACGTGAGTGACAACTGGCCCATCACAGGCCAAAGCCCTGGCCATGTCGGTGGATCGAGGGGTTAATGTGGTACCCAAGCCGGGTCAGAAAGAGCCATACCAAGTATTCTTCCATTTCCAAATCCTGAGAAAGAAATGGCATTTGGGGTTTCGGAGTTAGAAAGTCGTGAAGGAGAAGCATGTGGAGGCGTAAAGTCAATCTGAGATAACAGGGCACGAAAATTGGAGGGGAGCCAGGTTTTAGCTTCTTCCATTTCCAGTTCGGGTAGAACTCGGCGTTACCCCAACAGCATGCTCCCACAGTAATGTCTTTCTCTTCTTACAGCATAACCTAAATCACAGAAGTCCTGTCTAGTGAAATAGACAACAAAACTCTTATTTAACATGGTGTCTGCATGTATTTGTCCTGCACTTATGTACCAGATACTTCCTCTTAAGCATTTCAAGCTTCCTACATATTTCTTTATTAAGACAAGCTCAGACTGGCTGAAGACCTACTGACAGGAAAGTGCTTAAGGTTACTTTACTGAATAATCATAAATCCCGAATTAAGAGCATTCAAATTACTAGAATTGTGCAGGGTTTGAATTGATGCATCTCAATTGTGGCCTTAAGCGTGCTCGAAGCTGTGGACCCAGCTTGCATTATAATGTTTTTTTTTTTTTTCTCTCTCTCTCCTTTTCAAATCGAATTCATTGGCCTATTCCATGTCCTGGAAATCAAATTTCGCAGGCTGCTGGCTTCCCTCCAAAAGCCTTTCATTGTTTCAAAAGCCATCCTTGTTTTCAGTTCATTCTTTTTTATCCACTGTGTAAACGAGGTAGACCTGAATACTTAGGAAAATAGAAAGCATTTGGTTGTTATTAGAGTAAGGACAGCCGACTCACACATGTAAAACATTAAAGAAACCTTATAAATGTTTGAGTAATTTTTTTCTGTTGTTGTTTGGGGCTGTGGGGCACTTAACCACATCCTGCCAAGCAGCCTCCAGCTTCGCTCTTTATTACCAGGTAGACTTTTAGGCTAATAAAACAAACAAGGACAGCAGTTTTATTTTCTTTACCCAGCATTTTATTGTTTTCATTTACACGTAACATACTATACACTGTTCAGCCTTTGGGAGGTAGGAGGCGGCGGCGGCTCTGGCTTCAGGAGGCTTCCCCTCAGAGCCAGCACTGATGCTTCGGAACTCCGTGGGCCACAGAGGCAGAAGCCCCGAAATCTCTAATTTTTTTAAATCTACAACATTCAGAAATTGAACTTCTTTTCCTTCAGTAGTTGCAAAAGGGACCAGAATTCTGTATCATTAGCGAGCCAAAATGCCTTTTTTCAATGCAGAATAACTTTACTGCTCCTTACAAACTCTTTCTGTCTTTACCCCTACTGGTACACGCGCTGAGGAGGGCAGGGGAGGAGGGGTGAGGCGCCTCCCACCTCCGGGTTCTGCGAGCTCAGATTCGTTTTGCTGGAAGCAGTCGAGTCTGGAGCACTGCAATGGCGACTGTTTACACGCAGTCTTGCTGGTGACCTAAGTGGCTATGTGAAACAAGAGCCCAGGGGTGCCCTCTTTGCTGTTACTGTGGTCATCTAATACCATATTTGTCTCAGCAAACATTTAATTTTGGTTGTGGGTGGTCCATTTTCATGTGTCAGGTACAATTATTACATTAAAATAAAAGAAAAAAGATATCTCACTTTCAAAGGAATGCGTTACATTATACTTCTCAGATTCAGTTACCAATTAAAATTTAAGGTACAGATTCCAACCACAGAAAATCAAACACTTTTAGAAACCTATTTGTCAAAAAGCAAGTTGAAAGCAAAGTATTATGAAACTCAAATTTAGCCATAAGCCAAACAACCGTGCCTCACATGTATTTCTTTTGAAGAGCCCAATTTTTAAAGGAATCATGAAATGTGACCTTTACGGGATTGCTTTATGGGAAGATGTCTTAATAAAACTAATTTTTAAATAACTTAAAAATCAACTGGAAGTGCTGCTTAGGCAGCAGCACAAATGAGTTCTAAGAGAGTCGGAAAACACCAGCCTTTCCAGAGTTTAGACTTAATTGGTGAGTCTTTTCCTTATACCAAAATACTGTTGTCCAAACAAGAAAAATAAACACTTTTTCAAAACAAGAACTATGAAGATAAAACTGCAGCATCAATATAGTCTTATTACTTAATGTATTTAGAACAAATAATATTTTTCTACATTTTTATATCACTACAGACACTGCAAATAAGACTTATGCATGTATTTATGGATTACAATGTGTTGGTGACTGGTAAACTTAAGTTCTTATGCACTGTTTTCTATACCTGCTCTAACAAAATGAAATTTGAAATAGTTACATCCCAGAACACTCTAAAGCTCTTTAAATTTATAGAAAATAAGGCTTATTTGGTTTTGAGAAGATTAGATCATACAGTTTGGACATGCTACACATACACCAGGATATACTTGCTCTAGGTCCTGGGAGAGTTGCACTTCATGTCCAATTTGGTTTCTTTAGGGGAGATACTTTACGTGGGACCCACAAAGGGTTCTCGTATTATACGAAGACAGCGTTCCCTCACTCACCACTGTGACACAGGGCAAGACGTGATTAGTAAATAATGAGGGTAGGCTACTAAAATGTACTTCACGAGTAATTTTCCTTCGTTTAATATATGCTTGGAAGTGAATTGGTATTCAAAGAGAAGAATTTGACTTTCTGGTCTATTTCACAGGAAAGGAAGCTTCAGGAGTAACACACGTTTCTAAATGACCGCAGACATCTCTCACTTGAGCAAGAGCGCTGCCGTTTTCATTCCCGATGTTCTCACTGCAGAAGTGCAAACACGTCAGCGGACAGAACATGGGCACTCAGACTGCCTCCCCAGTCTCCTCTCCTAGTTTCGAAGTGTTTGCCAGGTTTCAAAAACACTTTGTCATGAACATGCGTGTAGTGTGCTCAAGAAAGAGAACATCTATCAGAGGGCAGCTGCTGACAGTGCTCTTTACAACCCCAAAAGATATTTAACACCCTATTAAATAAATAACTTAGGAAGAAATAGAAAAGGATGAAGGCAGAATGCACAAGCATATCATACTATTTGTATTGTTAGAGCAGTTTCACACTAACACGTGTATAGCTGTAGCTCCCGCCCGATTCTCCACGTCCCACGCTGAGCGCGCCTGTGGCTGCGCAGACGCCCGACCCAAGTGCTTTCCAGTAAATGCCTGCGTGTCCTGCTGCTCGCTGAGTCATTAGGCTTGAATGAGCAACCGAAGTTTTTGGTATGAGTTCGTGTTCCATAAATAACTTTCCCGAAGATCATTCAACAGATCGTTTCATGTCCTTTGAGTTCTCTCTGAGGTTCAAAATCAAAGACTCAACCAAAGAGCCCAGCCACGTCGCTCTCTCGGGAACACCTTCGTCCCACGTGATCTGCCTGTGTCGTGGTTACAACACGTGACACAGAGCTGGTGAAGGAGCATCGGAGGTCAGCAGCGAGTACAAAATCTCCTGAAGGCTTCCTTTCTTTGAAGCAAGCAGGCACGTCCAGTGCGCCTTGTTCCTGTCGTTACTCTGGCAAACAGCCTCCGGTGCCGGCGTCCACACGCTGCCTCCTAGGAGTGCACCACCATCGGAAGGAAGTGGGCCGATGTGTTTTTCCGGCGTGTCTTCTGTCCCCTTCTGGGAGCTCCCTTGCCATTCAGCGCAACGTACATCTGCCGGCCATTGTGCTGCCAGTGAAAGGACGCATAGGTGTTGTAGCCATTCTCCTCTATCCTCTCCTTCAGCTTGCAGTCATTGTTAAACTCCTTCTGCAAAGAGAGAAAGCAAGCTTTTACTCTAGGGTAACACTCGCTTCCACTGGACACCACGCATGTGGAGAATCCAGCCAGCAATCGTGACGGCAGTGACCACGTTCAGGAAAGTCGCGTGTTGATGCAAATGTCAGATAGCTTGGGTAGCTGTACCGCTGATTTCTATTGGCCTACTGAAAGGAACAGTTAATAATTAAGTGTCTTTTTCTTCTACTTAATTTCGACCACTTTTTATGCTTATATTTGGTAATCTGAGCAACTAATCTGAAGACAGAGATATGCAATACAGCAATCATTGTAGAAGTCCGATCATCTTGTTTAGTGAAATTCTGTACCATTTCTAGTGGTTTTTGTCTGTAGTTTGTTATGAGCTGGAATTTTGGTAGGATTTGTTCTGCACTTAAATAATGCTTCAAAACTAGGACACAAAAAATGCCTTGCTTTGTGAACTAATATTTTATTCTTTTTTAAAAAAGAAAATCGCTTAGGTCAGCTTTCGTGGAGAATAAACTTTTAAATTCCAGGTTAAAAAATAGAAAAGCAAAACTTACAACTGCAGAGCACACTCTTCACTTAAAGCATATGAAGCACTTTAATTAACCATCACGTGTCGAGTAAGCCCTTTAGAAAAAGCTGGTGTGCTTGAACGTGGCCAGCTTACGGGCCTAGAATGACTGTCCAGAGCACATGTCTGACTAACAACACTAGAAATAAGAACAGCGCCATCACCTTTCTTCCACAGCGACCAGAGAGGTCGAGCGGGACACGCGGAACTGCAGGAGACACGGGCTGATGGAACTCGGCATCTATCTGTCTGCACATCTACAAGCAAATACGTACTGAAAAGAAGGGAAATTGTGCGGGAAAGCCGTAGCAGCACGATGCAACTAAAGCTGCGGGAAGCCTTCCTCTTTTCTAAAACCAAATTTCCCAAGTTTAAAAGCATTTGTAGTTCGCTATGAGCTGGAATTTTGATAAGTTTCGTTCTGCACTCAAATCATGCTTGCAAACTAGGACATGACAAATGCTTTGTGAACTGTTTTGTAAAGAAATTACAAATACGGCAGCTAACAAGGACTCCCAAGTGTAGGCGTGGAGACCCGACCGTGGTCAGGCGGGTCCTGCGTCCAGAGCTCTTTGGCTTTGTCCCAAGCAACCAGAGGGAATCACAGTTCTGAGTCTCATTCTCTCTCACTCCACAGAGCCGAGCCTGGCTCTGGAGTCAGTAACAGAAGAGGTTCTCGAGGATGGCAAGACTCAGCCTTCAGAGCTACCCGCAGTATACAGCGGGACAGCAGCACAGCTAACGTTCCGACTCAGGGAGGTCGGCAGCTAAGACACTGGGGCTCGGGACTTTCTCCGTGCAAATCAGACGCACTTAGGCTTATTTCCGTTTAGGGTTCTATTGGGTGGCTTCTTTTACCTTAGAACACTGACAAATTCCTGATGGCACTATTCAAATTTCTATGGGCTAGTCTCAGCTTCAGTTTCCATCCCTAGAGATTTTAGTCCTATATGCTTCTATTTTTAAAAATCATAATTAAATATAAAATTCAAATATAATATTTAAAAGAGAAGAGATACAGAGTTGATTTAATTGATCACTCTGAGTGTTTACCTAATTGAGATTTTACAGAAAGGCTTATGAAATTAATGGAAGTTACAGGAAAGAAGTAAAGACAGGAGTAACAGCTGTCATCTGATGAATAGAATTATATTAGGTATGGAATCATAACTTTTTTTTGTATTTTTAGGGAAGGGTCTACAGAGTGCTTGGAGTCTCACTACTAGATCAGACTCACAGTGATTCTCCTTTTTACAGTCTCTCAAGTGGTGGGATTCCACACCCAGTCTCAATCACCATCTCAGCTCGCCCCAGGGACGGGCCGGCTCAGCAGGCCCTGCAATCATAAGTTTTGACAGCAGTGTTTGGATACAGAATTCTTACTGCTGTTCCACTCTCGGCAGGACATTCAATTTGAGTACATTTTCTCTTAATTAAACACATCACAATTTTTCACTACTGCTAGTAGTAATGAAAATCACAAAATAGTGAATATCTGGTGCAGAGTGTGATTCTTCTGTAGTCTGGCTGGCAAGGAACAGAAAGTGATTTTCTAATGGTCCAGCCAACGGAGGAGTGGTCAGGTTTATACCTCGGGTAATCCTGTACTCTCTGTGGTACAGTAGGAGACAGGCTTGATCCTACCTTCTTGAAGGTACAACCTGGTGAGAAAAGAAATCAAAATCTAGTAGGTCAGGGAGATAGCTCAGGCAGGCAGGGGAGAAGGCTCAGTAGACTAAGCACTTCCCTGGCAGGCACAAGGGCCTGAGTTCAATCCCCGATTCAGCCATGAGTTCAATCCCTGGTTCCGCACAAAACCAAAACAAACAAAAGAAATCAAGGAATATGCACTCGGTCCTCTTACCCAAATCACTGGTAAGTGTGAGCTAAGGAGCGAGCTGGGCAACTGAAACGTCAGGTGAAGCGCACTGCAGGACGCTGGACAGCTCCGCGGAGCCCACCCTGCACGCCTGTGAGCCCCGCCCGAGCCTCCCTCAGCAAGAGCACGCGGCTACACCGCGAGCTGCGACCCGGGGCTGCAGAGCAACACTGGCAGCCGGCTTAAATAAGGACACAGAAAGAAATCAATTTGCGGAGCGTCCAGCCCAGGACGAGGCCAAGGACAAGAGGAGCTAGCCCCAAGGTGGAGACGCGGAGGACGGCGCTACAGCGGTATGCGCAGGTGCCTTCGCGTGTCATGCGCAACTCTTTCTCCTTGCATTACAATGACTGTAAGTAATTAATACTTATATAATAAGTAATACTTATATCTGGTTATTAGAATTAGTTTAATATTTTATTTCAATTAAAACTATTTGCATTTTATTAATATAAATTACTATTAGCTGACTTTACCTTAAATAAGCATTGACTTCTTTGTTCAAATTTATTTATTTTATTTTAGTTTTTTTATTTTTAAAGAGAATAAAAATAGTAAAAGATAAATTAGAAAAAGATAGAATTTCACTAAACAAAATGATAGGAATTGCACATAGTTGTGATACTGCGTGTTGTTATCTTCAAAGTAGCTGTTCCGATCACCAGACACAAGCATGCAAAATTGGTAAAAAAAAAAATTAAAAAGAAACAATTTTAAGCATTAACTGTTCCTTTCAACAGACTAGTAGAAAACAGTATACTCATCCACACCGTCCTGTGTACATACATAAGTTTCCTTTTCTTCTTTCTTTTCTCTTTTCCTTCACCCATGTCGCTCCTTCCTTTGAGCACTTTCTTTTCCTGCCACAATATCTAGTCACCTTTTGGGTTTCATGTACTCTCTCAGGTACTTACACTAGGGAGACAGTACAATGTTTATACACGCGGCTCTGATTTATGTCACCTACAAGTGTGGTCTCTAGTTGTGTCCATTTACCGATAAAAGCCTCACGTTTATACCTTACTGCAGCGGGGCAGCAGCACTGGCTTTCGGCTGACCGCACCTGTCACAGTCAGTCCAAGAGCGCACACCTGGGCCTCTCACCCGCAGTCCTGACAAGCGTGGGCCAAGGAAAGGGCTGGGCACAGCTAAAGGGCTACGTCGGAGATGGGGTTTCATCCCACTCCCCAGGCTGGCCCTAAGTTCCTGCACGTGAGCTGTCCTCCAGCCTCACGTTCCTGAATAGCTGTCAGTACGGGCGCATGCCACTGCACCCAGCTGAATGAAAAGAAAAGTAAAACGTGCCTCAAACGTGATCACGATGTGAGCTTTTAAGTGGAACCAGTTTTTAGAGTGATTCGCTGCTCTTTCAGGTTCTTTACCACAGCAATGCACATAACAGAGGAATTTACCTACAATTCCTCCTCTGGCCCTTATGCAAAGGTGCGTTTCCCAGTACGCATACGCCCAACTCCCAGGTAGAAGTGGACCTGATGTAATTAAATGCTGGGCTGCTTTAGCTCCAGACCATAACCAGTTCTCTGGCTGCTGTGAGCAGCTGGGCAGCGTCAGCAGTCCCTGGGCCACGCTGGAAACGTAGTGTTCTGGATGCCAGCCGACGCACAGAGTGGGCAGCTGGCCTGGGCCCTGCCTCCGTGGTAACCAGCCCTCCTGCTGATTCCAATAGCTGAGCTTGAGAGCAGCCAGCCCTCCCCAGTCATTGCGTTATTCGAGAAAGTAAGTTTATTAATACATTGAAAGTGAAATTATTTTTGATGCAAGAAAAAGTGTAGCATGAATGAAAGATCTGGTTAGGCAAAAATGAGACAATCTTAGTGTCCTGTGTCTCAGGTTTTATTACCAGCCATTGGTGTTGTCACATATGCTCCAAACATGCAATTAAAAATGTGTATAAGTTCTTGTTCTCTTTCTTTCTTTCTTTCTTTCTTTCTTTCTTTCTTTCTTTCTTTCTTTCTTTCTTTCTTTCTTTCTTTCTTTTTTTGCAGAACTAGGTATTGAACTCTGTCCCTATTCTACTAAGCTACCTCCCCGGCCCTATGAGTTCTTGAATGTATTCTACTAGAGTAGAATCTACAAAAAGCAAAGCCCTTCGATTCACGGAGCAGCCCTGATGACTGTCCAGGCTGACACAAGGAAGTGCAGCCACGTTCACGGCACGGCCCACAGCCGCCACTCCCATTGCAGCCAAGAGGTGGAAGCTGACGGTGGGCTTCAGCTGGGTGCCGAAGCACCTACCTGCCATGCCAGCCACTCAGCAGGCTCCGGGGATGTCGCAGACCCAAGCGCAGGCTCACAACTGCGTGAGGACCCTAGTCAAAGTCAAGTAGCTGGGATACAGTGCGTCACTAGGGCACCTGCCTGGCCCACGTACTGCCCTGGGTTCTATGCCGGCTTGCCTCGTGTTTAACAATTAGTCGTTCTGTAATGATCCTGCTGCAGTTATTAATATTTTCCAGATGCAGTGTCAATTACTGAAGTCAGGCCTCATTTGGCGTACTTCTTTCTAATGCTAAACTATATCTGGCGTGTGGCAGATGTTCACATAATTGACACATTTCTCCTAAAACCCTGAACTGGATGAACTGCTATACCACTTATAATTTAATTATAACAATGACTACAATTTTAGTCTAAAATAACTAGGCAATATTTTGATGAGACTTTAGTCTACGAGAATTGATCTCCGTGCATCTGATCCATGGTGGCAGAGGTGACATTCAATGTACTGAACATGCCTAGGCCGAGACAGGTGCAGTATGTATGTATCTGAGGCACTGACTGAACTCCAGCTCCACAGAGACCTTACTTCAAGGAGTAACTTTTTCCCTTCTGTCTGTGATGCCCTGGCATACTCTGAGTTAATGTTTGTGGTCTAGGAAAATGTAATTCTAAAGTTCATTGAACAACCTGTGGATTCATTCATTTATTAATGTCTTTCCATTTCAGATTTTCATAAAATACAAAAACCCAGAGCCCCTGTTTCATCGCCAACTGTAATGCATGTATACACACACACAGACACACACACACACACACACACACACACAAATATGGTTTTCTGCTCGGTTTGACACCTCTGTCTTTGACGAATCTTCTCCAAGTTGGGTGCAGCCCTGTGCCAATCTGATCAGAAGCTTCGTGAGAGGCAGAGCGGTCTGCAGTGCAGAGCGCTCATGGACAAGCAAAAGGGGACACTGCAGTTTTGGACGAGCTACTTTGCCACCTCTGGGACTCTGAGGGCTGCCCAGGGCTCTCTTTGCTAGTCGTAGGAGGAGAAGAAGGAAGCCAGCTACTGCAGAAGGAAACGGCCAAGCCCTGCGGTGCTGACCGGCCGCACTGGGCTTTGGAAACAAAAGCGAATGCTTACCGAGCCGTAGAGTTTCCCCTTCTTGTTCATGGCTAAGTAATAATTGCTGTTAATGGCTTTGACAGCAACAACTCCGATCTCCACCGACGTTATCTCCAGGATACCTAAAGCAGACAAATAAAGGGTAACTGGAAACAGTCTCACAGATTTAGTTGAAAGTAAAATCAAAAGACAATGTTAAGTATGTGCTGGTGGTTGTAAAACAAATGGTTAAAAAAAGGGGAGGGGAAGGCTCAACCAAACCTGTTTTTAAAAACCCAGCAAATATTTCCAGTAAATATATGGAAACAAGCAATAAGGCTGTAAAAGGATTCCCTTCCATTATACCCTGAGCATGTACAGAAAAATATTGTTCTAATTAAAATGCTTCCTTTGCTAACTCTGCATTTTCAACTCCATAAATATTGAAACAACTCTACTCATCTTAGCCCAGATTTCACAAAAACTTATCAGAGCCCCCATCTGTACTATGGTATTAAATTAAATCCATAGCATATGTCAATAATGTCAGATTTACTTCAATCTGTAAAAACAATGGTAAACTATTTTTTATTCATAAGACTCTCAGATAAGCTAAATCTCTTGGCTACAGTCAGTTTATAAATTCATTTTTGGCAAATACATTGACACTGTGATATTCCAAAAGACTAATCCCAGCTTTAACAATGTCTTTGAAACAATGGAATCAGCACTCTGAGTAGGAGAATTTTTTTTATTTTTCTAGCAGAAATAGAAAACTGAGGGAGTCACTGACAGATCGGGTCTTTTCCTGCCAATACCCAAGCTCAGGTTGGTGCATGTAAGATAATTTCATCTGAAAAGTATTTAGGTAGCACCAGGCAATGCATTTGACACGATACTCAAAGAACCTGCCCATCGTAGGTGAAGATTCAGGGCTAAAGCAACTTTCCTGACTATCAGGAAGGCCGGTCCGCAGGAGAGCAGGCAGCCCTGCATTTGCTGTGTGGTGTCTGGATCCAGGGATCTGGGTTTGACTGCTGGCTCTGCCTTTATAGACGAAAGCCCGGAGACGGCCCCGTACTGCTTCGGGTTTCAACTTCGTCTGTAAAATGGGCTGCCTGGTTGTACCTCCCTCGTGATCTCGAGAGGACGCAGGAGGCAGCACACTGCAGCAGGCCTGCTGCTTAGTATCCCAGTTCCCATCAGAGGAAAGAAGCTCAGCGGGAGCTTCCTACCCAAGTCACGTAGCTAGCAGGCTGTGTAAATCGCGCACAGCACGGACCCAGTCTACTGGCACAGTCCAGAGGAGCTGAAAGGCATTCGTAGACCGTGTCTTAGTTACAGTTTTCTTATTGCTGAAACAAAACCCCCGACACCCGAAGTTAAAGGACAAAGGGCCTATTTTGTCCATGGTGTGTGCAGGGTTCAGTCCATACTCGGCTGGCTCCAAGGCAGGGTGGCACGGCATAGGGCCAACAGGCAAGGTGGCAGAAGACAGCAAAAGCAGCAAGAGCAGAAAGGGAGGAGCACAAGAGAAAGTTCTTTACATCCCTTATAGTGCATGCAGCTGCCCACCCCAGGGTGGGAGTAGCACTCCCACCCGTATCCCAGCACTAGAAAGGAACAGTCACAAACTCCAGATTCAGCTGCCCCTGAAAAGCACCCCCCATGACTATATCAGGCTTTGGGGGGACACATGCAGACACAAACCGCAACAGACTGCCATTTATCCTGTGTATCTATCATGAGAAACACTATCCTGCTCTGTACAGTAGGTAAAGGAGTCCAGGTACTTCCCCGAAGGCGACATGGCTCACTCCTGACAGACACGTCTTCCTTCCTGATCTTCCTTCGCAGGGCACTCTTGGAGGCTAACGCAAGTCCTAGCACACTCCCGCTACAAAGCTGATGTTGTGAGAGTCTTGCGCCCCGACTGCATGCCGCAGGCCACTGTGCCCTGGAGGAATCTTCTGACCTAACAGCGCATAGAGCAGCTCTTCACTCAGAGCATCTCACTAGCGCAGCAAACCCAAACTAAGGGACGAGTGCAGAGGCTGAAAGGGGGTTGTTGCTCCCCGCAAGGCACACGCACGCGCACACACACACCTACAAAATTTTGAAACTATTTTCTTATAGTTTGATTGTCACAATAGTCCTCCAAAGATGCATTATCATGTTTTATCGCAGATTTAAAAATTAAAGTCTCTGACATTACATAGCTCACGTACAGGAAATAAAGTAGCATAAATCAGTGATGACAAGGGCTGGCCAAATAGCTCAGCAGATTAAAGCTCCTGCAAGCAGGTGCAGGGGACAGGGGCTCAATCCCCGGGCCTGTCGTGCTGGCCCTGCTCCCAGGGCGCACTGAGACGGCCATTGTGAGGGTGGCACGTGACCGTAATCCCAGCTCTTGGGAGGCAGATCACTACGAGTCCGATCTAGTAGTGAGACCCCGTGGTGACAGACCCAGTGCCACAAGCCCCTGCTTGCCGCTGTTGACTGCCTTTGCTCCTCTCCACAACAGCTTTCCCTTCTTTCCCACAAGAGGCTCCTGTTAGGAAACCATGAGCAGCAGGCCTCCGCGGAGGACGATGTCCACGCGTGAGAGACAAAGACCAAGTAGCCTTCACGTCACAAGCCAGAGAGGTACAGCAGGGAAGAGATACAGTATCCAGGATGCTGCCCATCTCCTCCCAAGAAACAAGTACAGTACTGTCAGTAAATGACAAGATGCTTCTTAGGTGTGCTTTTGAAACTAGAAATTTATAGGAAAAAAGAGGAATAAAGAATGACATTGGGAAGGAATAAACCAAGACTTCTGAAGCTGAATATGGAGTCAGCAAAACACTGAGATGGCATGAAGAAGAACATCATGCAGTGTACATTCCCAATCTTCAGTTATTTCTCCGAGTACAAAGCAGACAGACCACACTCAGCTTGGATACACACCGGTTGTGTTTCCCCCAAAATAGCAATTCAGTGGGCAAAGAATAATCAGTTATTTTTTTCTACTCTATAACCAGTTAAGGTTAACTGAAAAAGATTTATCTACTTAGTAAAATTCTATTTTTTTTTTTTTTGTATTTTTTTAGTACAGGGTCTTACTACATAGACTGGACTCGTAGTGATCCGCCTGTGTTCAGCCTCCCACGAGCTGGGATTACGGGTGGGCGCCACCACCCTCAGTCTCAATTGCCTTCTCAGGGTGCCCTGGGGGTGGGGGCGGCAAGACAGGCTGGGGATTAAGCCCCCGGCCCCTATGTCTGCCTAAACAGGCACTTTAATCAGCTGAGCTATTTGGCCAGCCCACAGAATCCTTATTTTTAAGATTGATTTATGAAACCTACACATATTTATGAGGTACTATATGACATTTCGGTACATGTGCACATTGTTTATGTTCACATAATGCCAAACGTATTTGTCTTCTCCAACTTGAAAAAGTTCAGCAGTGATTCAGAGTAGAAGGAATCCTGCATTATTTTATGTGCTTCTGAGTTACCAAAATAATTTCTGGTGTACTATATGCTAGTGAAATTATAAACTGAGATGAACTTATGAATAATGGATAGTGACTGCAGTTATTATAAAATCCGTGAGTGTGACAGTGACCTTCTTGGGGATGCTACTAGAAGGCTTCTCTGATTTTCAAGAGAAATTTTCACATTTTTCTCTGTTCATCTTCGCTGGAGATCAAGCGTGCCCAAACACTTATTCTGGGAAGAGGGGCCAGTCCTTTGTTAGTGGTGTGTCCAAGTGACAGCCTGTTTCTCTGTGCACGCTTACCGAAATGTAAAGTTCAGTGCTGACCGAAAGAGCAGCCTGGCACGGAGGGCGGGAGGGAAGAGCGCAAGGCCATGTGCTTCCTGTAACTCACACAGCTCCGTGCACAATTAGCTCACAAATACAAGCTATAGGAAGGCAAGCAACACCTGAGAATTATGGCATCAATAAAAGGAAATGTAAAGCGCATTTCTCATTCATCTAATTCAGGTATTTTGTAAATTAAAAGACATCTTCTTGTAGTGAAAGTCTGTGATTTACATTTAGTTATAGTCATTTCAGCTTTGTTAGCCATCCGAAGATGAACATGCCAGGTGGTACTGTAAATCTATTTAAGGGCATCTGGACAGTGTAGTTTAAACACTTGAGAGGTGTAGTAGGAAAAGGGCATTCTTTTAAGAACTGGAAATACAAAGCCAGAGAAGTTGTAACTCTTGCCTAGAAAAGACTGTGTTCTCCTGGGAAGGAGGCAAATGCGGAGAAGAGCGCCATGAAGCGCGCTGGCCCGGGAGGCCCTGGGCGAGGTCTGCAGGGCCGGCGGGGCTCCGCGGAAGGAGGGAAGCCGGAGGAAAGCCATTCGGGGGGCACGGGGGAGCGCTTTCCAAACAGTCAGGAAATTCTGGTCGTCGGCCAAGGTTAGGAATCGAGGGAGAACGCGGGCAGCGCTGAACCGGGCCCCAAACCGGGCTCAGCTCCGCGATCGTGAGCGGATCCTACGGACGCGAGCAACTGGGAAGCGTCGTAGTTTTAAAATTATGTATAATTTAAAATATACGTAAGTTATAATACAACGTATAAAATAAATGCATTTTACAAAGCAACATTTAGTAAATTTAGGTAAACAACAGAAGTCTACAAAGTTTATTTTGAGTTGTAAAACTTAAAAAAAAAAAAAAAAAAAAAAAAGTTGGTCATCACTGCATTACCAAAGCAATGGTGAGGGGAGTTGGGTGCTATCAGCCGGATCCGCAGGTGCTGCCTGCGGAGGGGCCGCGGCTGCAGGATGGGGAGACTTCCGCGGGCTGCTGAGCCCCACGAAAACAAGCTAAAAGCCACAGCTTCCACTAAGTCATCTTTCTAAACTCGTGGAGTCCGAGTGCACAGCGGTCAGCGCTTGCTAGGCCCTGAAGGCCTCCTCCGGACGCGAGCCTCGGCCGCTGCCGGAGCCGCTGGGGCAAGGCAGCCACTGGCCTGGGAGTGCTTTCTTCTTTAGTAATGTTTTCATGGACAGAAACGGAAAAAATGAAAAGCAAATACACCTTTTTTTTTTTTAAACAGAGTGAATACAGACAGGAAAAAAGAGGTATTTGAAAAATAAATGCAAACCCCTAGTATTCCTTTCTATATAAGCAGAATGTGA